CCATATAGGGGAGTTGTAGAGTGCCCATGAAGGTCGTATTATCCCGTGCTCCAGAAGTTCTTTAATTTGTGATTCAATCTTGGGTATGTTATTGACTATAATATAATTTTTTGCTGCATGAACAACTCTTTTAAACTATCATTTCCTAAAATTGCATGAAACGTCTCGAGGATAGGCAAAAGGAAAAACCTTTTCATTTTGGATAGGATTTTTTATAAATGAGATTGGATATAGTTTTTATTAGACCCTATGTCAATCAAGATTCTTAAAATTTGTCCAGTACTCGTAGCTAATGTAAAAAATTAATGTCTGAAAATTCTTGATAACGGTCATTGTTTTCTAGAACATCGCATTGATTGTCAATGTTGTCTCAAATGGCAAGAGTTGTTCTGAATTTTCATAGTTTTGTTGCTCAGATTCATATTGTTCAATGTGAAACGTGTGTCTTCGTAAAAGTTATATTGGATTTTTGGAGCATTTCGATTTGGATCGTTCTGATCGAATGGTCTTTTTCCCGAAAACTGGTTGGTATTTTTAAGTCTGTTAATATAATTTACTGATCTAATACGGAAATATGGACCCATGCGGTATTGTGGGTTGGAAATAATTATTACCAAAATGATGACTTTGCTGCATTCGGTTATAATAATTCATTGGGTGAAAATTGTTATCAAAATGTGGAATGTGTGGAATTTGCGGTGGCAACTGGGGTAAAATATTGTGTTTATTAATTTTCTGTCCACGATTAGCAAAATCAACCCTAACTAATTGTTTTTCCATTTTTCAAACAAAGTTGAAGGGAATGTAAAAGGTCTTTTGGTTCCTTCATACCCAAGTGAATTGACATTTGTTCTATCAGACCTCGAATGAAAGTGTCCAAGGCCTTGTCTCGGTAAGTTTGAGCTAAGATATCGAGGGAATCTCGTCCGTTAATTAAATAAGACAGTTTGTTCATATTAAGGGGCATGTGTGGATACACCTCTTGATAAAAGTCTTTGACCCTACTGTTACCCTGGATGAGGGTTGTCTTCTGGTATTCCAGATTTGTAAGATTCCTATTATCTGCATAATGAAGATTTAAACATTTAGAAATGGAAGAAATAGTGACATTGTCAGTAATAAGTCAGTAGTTTCTTATAGACACAACGTCACATAAGTGGATACGGTCAGTAGTGTGTCAATAGTATGTACGTATCGACACAAGGTAGTAGGGAAATCATGTCCATATGGGCACCGTCTAGACTTGTCGCCTCTCTAAGTGTGGTCCGAACCTGTCATCCCTACCCCTGATATGTACCGACTAATATAAGGGCAATATACAAAGAATACTACAGTAACACAACAATGTATCACCCCCTATACTTATTACCTATATGATGCCCACACAACCATAATCAGTTCTTCCTCTTTTTCAGCCTACTGACCCCATGTCCGACAGGTCATTCCCATAACGTTCTTCTATTATCTGGCCCATGCCGGATATATCAGTGCTAGGCCTAAGATATTGCCTAATGGCAATCTGACATTGCTCGGTACAAATCCGGGCAATAGTGCCCCTTTTTCGATCCTTAGAGTCTTATTATCCTATCCAAACTTTCTACGAGCTGTATTCAGCTGCATTTCCCGAAAATTCCTTCGGACCACGTCCGGAACCTTATCCATGTCCAAAAGGTCATTCCCATAACGTTCTTCTATTACCCGGTACGTGCCGGAAATATCAGCGCTAGGACTGAGGTATTGCCTAATGACAATCTGACATTGCTAGGTACAAATCCGGGCAATATTGTCCCTTAGCTGCCCGTATTTGACTGGTGGCCTAATTAACTTCGCGGATGGGTTTGACATTATAGCAAAAAAACAAACAATATTAAAATCTCACAAAAAATGCTTCAAATTTAGTATTTAAATGAATGAATCAATATGCCATATTTCTAGTTATATGACTCGAAGAACAAAATGTTTGAATGTTTGACCCTTGTTATTTGATTGATATTCCAATACTGATTTTAAGAACTTCTCAAACTAATCTAACATGCCGTGTCTATGATGGTTAGTTTTGTCCCTACACATTTGTTTACATACCAAATGAGTGCATATCTTCGTTTGTGCTCTTTTATCTATTCATTATTATTAGTGCATAAACAAATAGATTTTATGGCTGCGTTTCACTTATCGCAAAACCACTTAACATTCTTTATGACATATCCTAAATTAATAATCCTAACTCATACAAAAATATATTATATTCATATATATCCATATCCATATATATCCTGTGCACATGTTTACAACAGGTGGATATGAGAATGTGTACACCTTATGAATCATAATATTATCTTAAAATTAAACTTTAATGTGTAATTTGAACGTTGCACAGTGGGTTAGAATACCCTGTTTCCTTGGATTAATTAAAAAATAAAATTTTAAGTATCGTTAAAAAATTTTGCACACGGTTAAAGTATATAAAATTCTACATCACTTGTCGTTGAAATAAATGTCAAAAGTGGACTGGTGTTTTTGTAGTGAAACTTCAAAGTCAAACTTCATAGAAATTTTTGTGCCAAAAAAGGCTGAAAAAAGTGAAAACGTTCCCGTTGAAAATTTTATTTATTTTAAAAAGTATTGTAAAAGTTAAACATTTTTCAATGGAACCATGAAGTTTAGGTTATTTTGCAAATACTTCGTTAACATTTGAGTATGAAATTGTGTTTCGAAGTGATTAAGATTTAGTTATTTATATTGAAAATGCCAAAAAAAATAATATTTTTATATTTTAAATGGATAAATAGTTATTATTCGTCCACATTCGTGTCATAATTTTTGGTTTATATTAAAGAGGACATAAATCTGTGTTATATTGCAAAATTTTACGCAGCCCTTTTGAGCCTTTTAGAAGCTATGCATTGTTTAATACAAGTGTTGCAGCAGTCAAATTAGCGAAAAGTCACATTGATCTCGTGACTGGTGCTGTTGTTGAGTGTTGTGTTTTCTTGTTTTTCATGTTATTATTTTATTGTTGTTATTTTTGTTTCTTTTAATAATATTCTTTGTTACAATAATATTTTGTTTTTGTTTATTTTAATAATATTCATTGTTTTGACAAATAGTGATTGTGTTGCGCAGTTTCAAGTAGTCGGGTAAAAGGGTTCTTTATTAGCATTTTTTATAGACAAAAGTTCGAACGTTGTTTTTTATAATCGTCGAAGCTTATGATGAATTCGAGCGCTCAAACAATGAATGACAAGATGACATTTTTAGCTAAAGAAATCCAAAAAACGCACCAAAACGCTAAAAAAAAAATCTGCCGAAATAACAAAAATATATGTTAATTTAATAAAAAATGCACGTGTCGGTTATAGCTGTATCCAGTGGCCATGAAATTAATAATGAAAAATTTCAAATATATGCACACAATACAGGACGACTTTTTGTTGAAACGTATCCTTGGTATAATATGCCTACCACTTTGCACAAGTTTTTTATTCACGGACCCGAAATTGTGTCAAATGCCCTTTTACATATTGAGCAATTATCAGAAGTTGGTGATGCTGCGGACAGAGATGGCCTGTCAGAAACAGTGACGTAAATGACATACATTTCCGACGTATAATACATACGTCAGAAACGTCGGAAACCCACTCAAAACCATTATGTTTTTTATAAAATAGCTATTTACATTTATCGATTTGGAAATAACGTATGCTTTACTCAAATTCATATCGAATATCAATTTTTTTTTCTTAAAAAAGTTTAGAATTTTTTATCAGTTCTAGTAAAGAATAGCCAGATATACAGTAAAAATAATATATGTTCTTAAAAATTACTGTATATGGTGATAATATTGAAATAAATGACGTTTACTACATTTTATACAGGTATATGACGTTTTCGACGTTTACACCTTTTTGACAGTCGAAAGCCTGAAAATTCGTCATACGGATGATTAACTTTAAGATGTATAAAATTCAATGTTTATGTTATAATATTGTACTTCTTGCACTATATACCTACACTGATATTTGCATTACTTAATAAAATTATACTCAAATATACTTAGAAAACATTTTTTAACTTATTTTAATGGTATTAACTGAAAAATAAAGAAAAATTATTCTAACATAGCTTCCCTGATTTGATCCAAGAAAACATGGTACTCTAACCCACTGTGTGTTGGATGCAGTAATCACACTATTTTTGTAATAATTTGATTGAAGTTTTCAACGTTGTGTTTTTGCAAACGATCAAATTCATATTTCATAGCCGTGGTTACCAAACGATTTTTTAAAATGTCTAAATATTGTTGTGCCTCCATAGCAATGGTGGGCAAAATTTCTCTTAAATAATTGTTAAGGGAAAATAAAAACAAGTATTTTCAGCGGAATTTAATTAATTTAATATTTTTAAAACATAAACAACATCCCAGGAAGTGTAAAAAATAATTTCATTAAAAAATTTGTCATTAATGTTTATTTTGGTTTTAAAATAAAAAAAATGTCAAGAGAACGCATCAACGCTGGTATGCAAGGCTGCCCAACTTTGCTCCATAGTTGTCTCTATGAAAGCTAAGTCTCCCACACCGTTTATTTATTTTAGTTGAAATTAATTTTTAATTTATTTGAAACAAAGAATATTTTATTTGAAATTACATTTTTACTATATTTCATTCATAGGAATTACATGAATCTATTAATATATTGGAGGGAGATCACAGGACAAAATTTAAGGTAGCATATTTCATACGTAACATAGGTAACTATCATATGCCTAGGTTATGTATTTCGACCTTAAAAACGAATTTTGTACGTTTTGTCTCTTATAGTAAATCGGTAGTAGTAGAATCAGTTACTAAAAACCCAAGCCTCGCCCAAAATTTCAAGATGCTAGCTTCTGCCGTTTCAGTCAGATAATATAGATTATTTTTTCTTGATCGAAAGAGAGGAGATATTTTTCCTTCCAAAGATTGTCATTTTACTACAATTCAGTGGCATTAATATACTTACTTTTAAATGAGCATCTATCAGTTCCATTACAAAGAGTTGGGTAAGACCACCATCAAATCCATCAGAACAGGTTACCGTCAGCGACGTCATAGATATGTTAGTCAATGTACAGTTATGTACCTGATCAGGACGTCCTGAAAATAAATAGATAAATTAAAAAAATGTTACAATATATTTAAATTTGTATTATTTTAAAGACTACTCATAGCGTCGTTGTACAGTAGCGGATATTCGTTTGAGCGCATATAATGTTTTTGAGATTTTACTATGGAAACACATTATTATATATTTTTTAACAAAATGGTTAATTTATTTAAGGTATCGAATATCAAATACAAATCGAAAACATTTTTCATACACTTTTTGAAATAATTAAAAATAAGGTATAGTTTGCCTTTTTGTCAGGACATTCGTTTGAGCGCAGTTCATTTTAAAATAAAAAATGGCGTAATAAAACAAACTTAGACTTAATAATGGATCAAACATATTTTTAAGCTATTTTGCGGTGTAAAACCATCAACAATAGACAATTCCAATTCTACTTTAAGATATAAAGGAAAGAAACCAGCTAAAAATCGATATTCCAACAACAAAATTAAGGAATTGTTTAGCAATCAGTTACAATACGTACAATTTCACTGTATTTAAAGTCTACTTCCTAAATAAGATAGACTAAACTAATAAGCAAGCTACATTTAACGACAGCTTATAAGTGAAATTAGTGGAATGTATATGGCTTGGACAAATAGATTATAAATGATCATATTTTCTGATGAGAATAAATTGTTTTTGTATGGACCAAACTATTATAGTTATAACATACACGAAAATGTAAAAAAAAACATGTGGTAAGATCGAAGCCGAATTTCTGGGGAAAGTCACATGGTATGGGGTGCATACGAATTTAAGCTACCACTTTGTGATGTGTCCACAAAAATGAATTCTGAAATGTATAATGTATAATTATTATTTTAAGATCCTGACAAAAAAGGCAAAATATACCTTATTTTTACTTATTTCGAAAAGTATATGAAAAGGTGTTTTGGTTTGTATTTGATATTCGATACCTTAAATAAATTCACCATTTGGTTTAAAAATATATATAATAATGTGTTTTCATAGTAAAATCTCAAAAACATCATATGCGCTCAAACGAGTGTCCACTTCTGTATTTTATAATAGGTCAATAAATCTCTATATTGAATTTGTGAAAAGTGTAACTAATAATGCATGACAAAATCGGCATTTAAAATATCTTACTGATTTACTAACTTTAATAAAAACTGTGTCAAAAATTTCTGAAAATGATTGTACATCAGAAATAAGAATTTTTTAAGATTGAAACAATTGAAACGTTAATGGGAATATGATTTCGGATTCTGCGAATCTTATTGCACAATGTTCCTAAATTGTTCATTCTACGTTATATCAGAGCGAAGATCATCTCCCAAATTTATAACTGAAGCTAACAATATTTGTTTTGAATATTCAACATTTTGATATCACTTGCATAACGTTTTTAGATGTTTTCTGCATTGTATACCACCTAACAAATAATAAAAATGCATTTATCAATTTAAATTTTTTTCAAGTTATGGTCAAAAAGTTAAAAAAAAAACTAGGCATGAAAACTAAAGATCTCAAAATAGCAATGTCACGCTTTAAAACAATTAACAATCCAGTTTTTTAACTAATCTTAACACTTTTAGTGAAATTAGTTCGTTTACTTTTACCAATATTTTCTTTGAAAGAGATAACATTCTCTAAATAAGTTACTTAGTGATATTTAGTGTTAAGTAAAGGAACATATATAGCATCATTTCTCATGTGTGACAACATTGCACGTTTGTATTATTACTTTTTTATTGCTTTTATATTTATTAGTGCATTGGTCGCGATGTGACGACACACAACAGTGGGAAAAGTGTGGTCTTATTTACAAATGCCATGTTCACCTCAAAATGAGGCACCAGCATCAAAATTCTCACGCAGTTATTTTGTTTATGTTTGATATATTGTTTACGACAATATATATCTTCGATATGTTGTATACACATTAATTGTCCACTCATTTGAGTCAATGGCGGAATCTTCTCTGCACTTCTTCTAGGAGTCACATTCGCTCAGTTCGGATGCAGAGAGGACTTTCCAGTGCTACGGCCGTCGATGTGATCTCGACCTTGTACACGCTACATTTGTTCACCACGACTCACATGCTTTCTAAATCTCGTTGGTTAAACTTGCATTCTCGCACGCACGCCTTAGGGTAAAGTTTTGTTTCTTTCGAAACTCAGTAACCTTGCCGAATAATGTTTGAAAATACATTTAATACCCAGCTTGTATAATACCTCGTCGGTATCACGCCAACATTTTGCTCCATTCGAGGCGGATCAACCATCAACAAATTACGAAGTTGTTGCTAATTTGATCTCTTCCCTATGTTTTTAAAGGAGAAAAACATCACCCCTCAAAAAAAAAAACTGCATCATCATCAGCAACATCAAAAACTGCATCATCATCCAAACAAACTCAAAGGTACGTAATTCAGTTTCATAATATTGACCATACCGCGAGTGTTGTTTTTTATTTCGTTTTACAAAAACAAAATATAAATATTTATTTTTCTAAATTGTTCGCTACACCGCGTCCTGGTCGCCATTCTATTATTATATTCCACGCGACTTTTTATAGCGTCTGTTGGTTAACCTCTAATCATACCAACAACATATACATCTCCCCAACTCTCACTTTTGGATCGTTATCGCTGTTTTGTTAAAAATATCATTCTCGCATTCCAGCCGACTTGAACTTTTTAATAAAAAGTGCCCAACTTTCGACATTTTACAAGCGCATTTAAAGCATTCCAATTAGTTATTTGCTCTTAAACACAAATATTTGGCTGTAAAATTATTTGAAATTTCGTGCACCCTACTGTCGGTAAAAGCGATTTTCAAATTATTTTTTGCAATTTTCTTGGTCTTTTTTTTTGGGAAATTTTACAGAAGTTGTTGTTTCTTGCTTTTGTATCGAATATATTGTATTATTTTATTGATCCATTTTGAAAATTCGACTGTGGGTACCCTACATTCGGTTCTAAGCGATGTCAAATAGTGCAAATAGCGTTTTTTTGATTATTTTTTTGAATTTTTATTGATCCTCTTTCGTTTTTATTTGTCTTATATCATGTCGGTCACTCCAATGACACAGTTTATTCGGCCTTCTGATAATGTGGTCAAATTTATTGCTTCATTCCACATGCTTAAGCCGGAGAGTCACACCAGTTTTAACCTTGAAATTCGATGCTCGGAACTTCAAATGTTGTGGTCTAAAGTCAAGGACACTTATGATAAGTGTATTGGCTATTTGATGACATTAGAGGGTATAACGTCCGATCAAATTTCGTCTGCCGATTCCAAACAATCAAAGCTTTATTGATTGTTTGTCGGAAATCAAGGAAAAGTTGCACAGCATGAAGCCGGTTAAAACTCCTCCTGCAACTCCCACCATCATGACTGCTAGTACTCCGCAAACTATTATAGCTCCAACTATTTCACAAAATGGTCACCCAGCTGTTGATCAGCCAGTATCCGCAAATAACTTCAATAGTTCTCGTGATAATTTGAATATTTCCAATTTAGCAAATATGGTTCAAACTGATTTCCCAAATCCTGCAGAAGTTTCTATTTCTAATTGCAGTTTGTGTCTAATGTCTCAAATGCCACGCATAATCTCAATTTACCACCGTGTGAGATTGATGTTTTTCATGGAGATTTCGTCGTGGCCCACCTTCCGGGACCTGTTCTCTGCCATGTTTATAAATAACTCTCGCTTAAGTGACATTGAAAAGCGTTTTCACTTAGTTCAAAAACCAAAAGGTGAAGCTAGGAAAGAGAGTCATTCGTTACGAACCTGTCCTAAATTCAAAACTTTTACATTTGAAAAACGATTTGAAGTTGTGAAAAACTGGTTTTAAATGTCTCCCTATGGGACACTCTCTCAGGAAATGTTCTAGTGGTCATAATTGCAAAATTTGTAATAGTCGTCACCATACTCTCTTACATAGGCCCGCTTCTCATAAAACATCGCCTTGAGCCTCGAACTCCGTGTCCTTCAGTAATACTAATTCTGCGCCATTAGAAACGAATGTTGCTTCTACCTCTACCGCGGCTAGTCCTCAAAGGATGAATAGTCAGGTGTTTCATATATGTATCCCAAAACCGGAACGTTTTGTTAGTTACGACTATGGTTAATATTGTCCATCTTGGAGTTTCCTACCCTGCTCGTGCTCTTATTGATCCCGGGTCAAAAGCTTCATTCATAACAGAACATTTACAAAAGTTCTTAAAGTTACCCACTCAATCAATTTCCGCAACAGTAAATGGTTCCACTTACGCTTCTGTAATTGTTGAAACTGTCGCATTTGTGCTTCTGAAAATTGCCGGAAATCTTCCTTCGTTCCCCCTCAGTTCAACACTCACTTATAGTTTGCCTAACATTCCATTGGCTGATTCTGACGTCCTTGATTGTAGACCTGTTGATTTATTATTGAGGGCTGATTTGTAACCGACAATTTTAAGAGAAGGGACTCGTCGCAACATATTGGGCTCATTGCTAACTCAAACACAATATTCGCCTGGATTCTTACTGGTCCTATTCCTTCCTCTTCAGTCCAGTCTTTACGATTGCGTTGGATTTTGCTGAAGAGGAATCTTTCAACAAGACGCTACTCCGATTCTGGGGACTTGAAGAAGTTCCCAAACAAAAACATCTTTCGCCGTCGGACACGTTTTATGAGAGGAATTATTGTGCTACGACCGTGCGGAATTACGAATTTATATCCGAATTTACGCAAACATTGCAACTGTGGGAATCTCGTAATAACGTTTTGAAACAGTTTTGTCGTTCGGAAAATTCACTCCTTCGTAGACCCTCAGTTAGTTTATGACCAGGTATTACAGGAATATCTGTCACTGGGACACATGTACTCTGTTCAGCCCCCTCAGTCTGATTCGCTAGCCTGTTACCTTCCTCATCATCCAGGAATAAATCCAGACAAGCCGACGACAAAACCTTGAGTTGTATTTAACGCTTCCAATAAAACTTCCAATGGTACATTAAATGATCTTCTTGATGT